TTATTGAATAGCATATTTTTTAGTAAAATAGTTCCAAAAATGGATTATGTGCATCAGTTTTAACAAATAAGCACTCATAATGTTGTTTTCTAAGTCCAACCGTTCTCAACCCGAGTAGCACACTTTCATCAATATAAATTACAGCAACTTGTTTATGACTGAAATAAGTCGTATATAAGTTTCTACAATTGATTTGTGACAATCGTGCTACTAGGGAAGTTATTGAGAAATTTATATATGTATTTCCAACATGTTGTACCATGTTGTCCAGCAACGAAATAAAATTGTCATGATTGATTATTAAATAACAAACAATCCATTCTCAGATGAAGGGACTACCCGAGAAACAAATGCTCATTTAGTGTATTTTATCTGGGTAAAATTTCCAAGCAAAAATTTCGGTATTATTACACATTTGAAGACATAATCTTCGCAATAAATATTACAAAATTCGAAGTGGAGTTCCCCGAGAAAATCAACGGTTCATTAATTATTGACATGAATTCACATACTTTTTTCATTCAGTGTATTTTTCTCAAAGAACATTTAACTATCTACAACTTCTTCTCAGATGTCATTTTGATCAAATAAGCCGTTTTAAGTTGAGTTTTTAAAGTAAAATCCATTATTTTTGATTCACTGTTTTCAAAAATATACTCTTGAGAAAAACAATCATACACTAAAGTATTTTTTATACCGGGGATATTTACCGTGTAAAAAAAACACATTTATATAAAAAGTTAAGGGTTGTGTCCCACACACCATCGCATTATTGACGTAGGACTACGAGATTGTTTTTTCTAGGTCAATTTAATAATAATTACAAAATTATTGCTATCATATATTATTCATATTAACATATTTTAGTAAGTTTGAACTGATCTTTCCTCGTTTATACAAGGTATAGAGCATAGGGAATTTAAATTTGTAAACATTATGGTACCATTTTGATAATACTTTGTGTAGTAGATAGAGTTAGTGTTATTAGTGAATAAATAATGAGTAGAATCGAGTGAGCGTGAAGCGTGATAGTCCGTATGTAAACGGAGTCTCATTGGTTAGAGAGTTTTGATAGGTTAGCAGGTATAAATATGAAGTACCTAAGCTCGTTGAAGTGTTTCTTGTAACGCATTTTGGAGGTGACGGACCACCACCAGCAGCAATAAAAGCAGCCACTTACTTTCGCCGACAAATCAATACAATACAATATTTTACATTTGTGCAATCCCAAAACAGCAGATGCAATGAAAGTTGAAGACAAAAGCAAAGTTTCAGTTGGGACGTAATAACTATGAAGAATAAGAAGAACTTATCAAAATTTCCATTTAAAAAAAAACATTACTTCAAAGACACACTTACTTCCCTGGTGACAGAATTCAGATTCTAAACTGTACACCATCCAATAGCTTTTGAGCATATGAACAACTCGGCCAAAAGCAGCAAGTCATTTCGTATACTAGTGCCACCTGGTGAAGACATTTTCATCTTAACAATAGGTCTTATAAATCTTATCATCTTTGCCAAAAACAGCAACCATCTAGTTGAGCTTTCAAGTTAAAGCAAGTAATTATAAGTCAAATTGTGTGCTCGCCGGGCTTGGCGTGAGAATTTAGAAGTGAGTTGTCCACTATAGAATAGGTCATGTTGATAGCAACCTAGTCTAATTGAGGTGTCGACTTAAGCAAGCCATTAGTTTAAAATGGTATTAGTGGTTAGTGATTTTTTTGTCATTCAGAACAACTTTACTGAAGACAGCAAACTTCTATCTAGTCGTGCTTTCAAGTTAAAGCTATTGCTAGATGTCAAATTGCACACGTCACCTATTGAATGAATTCTGAACTGAGCTGTCGGTCCTATTCATCAAAACAACTTTGTCCAAGACCGCAACCTTCTATCTAGTCGAGATCGAAAGTTAAAGCAAAAAGAAGTTAAATAGTATACTAGTGTGATGTACACCATCCAATAAGTCTTGAACAACTTTTCCACATACAGAATCCTTCTATCTAGTTTGCAGATTTTTGAGTAAAATCGAGGAATATTTGACTCACTCAGTAACCTCACTTTGTACTACTTAATTTTGATCTAGTCTCATCGGCCGTGTACATCTGCAGACGAACTGAAACAAATCGTACAGGTACGTTCTTTTATAACCTCACAATTGATTCGTATCTTTCAGTTCTCTCGATAGTAATTTGACAAATTTTCAATAGTTTACTTTTGATAAACTACTATAATCTTTACACCAAACAAACTTTAAATCAAATCTGTATCAAATATGGTGAAAAGAATTGAAATCCATCAATAAATGGTCATGTAATAAGCGTTTAAAACCTGACACTATTTCGTTCCTAATTTTTTTTTATTCGCTTCCCAGTATAGTCCACAAAGACGTAGTCCATCGTCAAAAATACCTACCAAGTTTTTAAGTTTCTACAAACTAAAATATTTAAAAAAAAATAAAGGGTTGTGTCCTAGACACGACCGCAGTATGGCGTAGAACTACGGAAAATTGATGTATGTCATGCATTTTTGACTATTATACTTTATCTTAAATTTTTCAAGTATTTCAATGTCTCGGTTATGGTTCAATGTTGGTTCAAGTATTTTCCTAGAATGTAATAAATTATGAAAATTCAAATGTGGGGTCCTAAACAAGCCGTTGTAAATTTTGGAGTAGCAGCCCAGTATAGTCCACAAAGACGCCATGCATGTTGTGGGATAATTTTTTTTCTAAGAAACACGTTAATTTTCTTCAGTAGCTCTATCATTAGTTTTAAATCAGGTCTCTGAAGCAGAAAAAAGAGTGAAAGTTACATTTTATGATAACGCAACAGGCAGTTGTTTTCCTTATCAGAAGACGGTACTTTCAATTTCGAACAAAATGTTGGTTCATATGTCAGCGAAGTAGGGGAGGAAGGGGTATAACGATCCTACGGGGCTTAAGCAGCTTTTGTTCTCCAGTTGGAGGACAACCCTAACATAAAATTATCATGCATCATCATCATGTAGTTTACAGCTGACACTGTGACTTTTCTCAAATCAAACGTTTGGTTTCCAATAATTAGGTGCTTAGTACAACATTAATTGAAAATTAGGGGAGTTCAATTATTGAATTTCAAAGTCAGGGAAGAAGCTCGTATGAGGCATGAGGCAAATTGTGACCTCAAACGAATAAAACTTATCATGTGACACCTCAAATCACATTAGAATTAGTTCAATGGTAGTCATTTGGGAGGCCCAGTTCCACATTAGCCACACCTGACCATGTTTCGATCCCCTCGGGTGGCCAGTTTCTGAATATGGTCAAAACCCATTGAATCACATTAAAATTCAACAACCAGTTCAATGGCAGTTATTAGGAATAGCCAGGATCCAATCAATTTCCGTAAGCCCCTAGGAAAGTAGCCAGTTTTAGACTTGGATCAAAATCCATTATGCGGTGCTGCAAATCACATGAGAGTTCATCTACTTCCTCTATGTACTGTTTGAGAAAGTTGTGATAAGGAAAGTAAACAGAAAATATGTTGCTGCGCACGAAGGCAATTGTAAACAAACCGAAGCACACCTGACGGTCAATGCAGGAAACAACTAGGTCTAACCATGATACAAATATAAATAAGAAATTTTGCCAAATATTCACAGTTTTCAATAAAATTAATGCAATAATAGTCTGCTAACATGCAGCTTACATCTGTTAGTAGTATTATCACCGACAAACCGACATGACACTTAATGCTGACTTATGTCCGAAAATCGTAAACGGCCGATTTAAATATGCAGTGATCCAAACTTTCAAAACCAAAGGATTTTTTGATCTAGATAAAAATATTTTTTCCAGAATAGATCAGAAACGAACCAATTCATAACGTTTGCATGCGGGTTCATGGCTTAGCAAAATATTTCCCGCGAACACGGAGCCAGATGTCAGTAGTGTGTTTTGGTCAGAAATTTCATTGTTTTTGCTTTGGTCATTCATGCCAATTTGTCGGTGGTATTATACTGCACAAAAACTTTGAAAATGTAAGTAAACATTCCTCTTGTGGACGTTCTAAAAAGAGCCATGTTGATTAGAAAATTAGTTAAAAAAGAGGTATTTTTGATTTGCACCCAGTATAGTCGACAAAGACGAAGTTCTACGTCAAAAATTGGTAATTTTGTAATTATAGCATCCTATACTGCCTATAATCCAAGGAGTAAGTCACTCAGCACAGTGTGCCGAAAGTAGATTCGGCACACCTTCGGCACAATCTCGTAGGCATTGGATTGTTCATTAAATAAAATGGGAGCACTGCTGGACTGCTGTTGTTGAAGTTGTTCACAACATTATGTGCTGTTTGACTGTGTATTTCAGAAACATACTGTAATTGAATATACTAGAGGAACTCAGACCAGCAATTCACTTCTCGGTTCACATTTAAATTTGAAATGCAGGCTTCCGAGGGCTGTCGATTGCTATCGATGCCGGTCACAAGTCTTTCAGCTACTACGTAACTGGAGTGTACTACGAACCAGGAATGCAAGAGCAATTTGGATGGATTGATGGATGGATGCAGTAGTGGCAATTGGATACGGAAAACTCAAAGGAGAAGATTCCTGGCTAATCAAGAACTCCTTGTTCAACTACTGGGGCAACGATGGATATGCTTTGATGGCGGTGAAGGGTAACAATTGTGGCCTTACCACCGATGTGACGTATGTAAATTTGAAATGAGATTTCGGTTTAAATTTGAGTAGTTTTTTTCGGATACGTGTCATCTCATACGAGATGAAATAAATGGTTTTCGATTTTTGTAATAAAAATAAAAGTTAGTTAGGTTGAGTGGAAGCAATAAAAATTCCGTGAGATTGTGCCGTGCAAAGTAGTCGGTCAATTGGTCGGCTACCAAACCAAACTCATTTGAACAATACCGAACTAATTTTCGCGGCACAATCACGCGGAATGTTCATTGCTGCAACTAATTAACTTACAATTTTTAAACTGAATTTCACTTGTTCAGGTACTACGATCGAATTCTCCCGGAACTCCAACCCGTTGGTAAAACCAAACGTCTTTGTTTGAGATCCTTCTTCTTGGCATACACCATTTCGACGTCGAAAACCTCCGAGAGCTTCTTGACCGGGATCATCACCTTCAGCAGTTCCTCTTCCAGATTGAGCAGTAAAGTGTAGTGCTTCTGAATCGTTTCTGTCGGATTGACCAGCAACGTTCGGACGACATTGGAGTAGTTGGACTTGTAACGCGCACCCACAGCACAGATGATAGATCCAAAGTGCAGATAGTTCTTGTCGCTGAATGCACTGAACTTCAAGCTGTAATTGCCACCCGACTGGATAATCGCCGGGTAGCACATGTCCAACTTGTTGGTATCCACACCGGAGACGTACCTTTTGTCCGTCAGCACCAGCTCGACACCTTTCGACAGTTTGGCATGTTTTACTTTCTTATCAGCATCCATAATCTCCACGACGTGATCCTTGAGGTACTTGTTGAATAAATCTACCGTCTGATGGTGATAACCTCGGAGTCCTCTCAAATCAGCAACAATCATGTCCAACCATTTTAATATTTGGCGTGGAAACGCTTATTATTATTATTATTGAATTGAGCCTCCTATACAAACACAAGTGAATATAAACAAACAAATCAACGCTTTCTTAATGTTCGCAACTGAATTTTTAACTAACTGTTACTTAGAGAGGGTCTATTATAAGAGAGGAGAGGACTGGCTGGTTTTGAGCCTAACGAACTTGTAGTGACCGATCTCTCCACCATACCTATTGTCCTTGAATCCAAACAACGCTACGACTGGGTTGGGTCTCCTCTAACCTCTAGCTTTGGATTACAAACCCCATTCTCACACGATTAACACCGTGCGTCACTTCCTGGCAGCTTTCCGATGATTTGCACAATCTTTGTGTAGAATGCACATGTGTTGACAGAACCGATGTTAACAATTGTATTCGTCCGGACGTGCCATTGATCCATTGATCTGTAGCCATACTCAAAGCCTGCTCCTATAACCATAGTTGAACTGGGCAATGGCCGGTGGCTCCAAACAATCCGCTCGGCGACGAATCCTGGAACATCATCGTCTGTGCTTCCCACAATCTGTGCACATGTTCCTTTTCCGCTAGCAAAGTCTATCTCGGTTAGTGCATTTGGTAACTTCTTACCAACACGAGACAGTAATCTCCAATATCTCTGAACGGTATCGGTGACGTCAACAAATCCTGGTTGAACGAACCTACGCCGATTATCCTCAAGGCCAAGTAGCTGACCTGTACTCGGATCAACGACTTCAAGACCTGCAAGGTTTACATAAAGTATGCCCTCAGGGAAGCGGTATGGCGTGGCGGTCCATCCTTCAGGAGGTTCTCCTGCAGCAGGGTTTGCAGGCAAGGATGGGATGATGGCCTGACCTTCAAACTCGCACATGCCTATATTCTCAAGATAGGCAGCTGATGACTTAAATCCTACTTTTAGATGAGATTCGACCAACTGGACGATCTCAGTGCTAGCAGGGGTACGGCCAAACGGTCCTCGTCGTCTGGACATCTCGCATTTGGTATACACTTGTAACTTAGTAACAGTCTCAATCAGCTACGCTACAAATGTAGCGTTTTCTTCATACTTTTAAGAAAAAATACGGATAAAATTATTCGTCACGGTTTCGAAGGAATTCTCGAATTTTTCCTGTAACACGGCTCATTAGGCGGCGCACACCTTCTTCGTCCATCGTTTTAGCTATCTTATTCCACCAGGTCTTCATCTGATTGATGTCTTTGACAACCTTTCCCTTTGCCTTGAGTCTCCTCTTCATGATTGCCCAGTATTTCTCAATAGGGCGGAACTGGGGGCAGTTGGGTGGATTAAGGTTTTTCGGAACAAACTGGACCCCTTTCTCTGCATACCATTCTTGAACGACTTTGCTGTAATGACAGCTTGCCAAATCTGGCCAAAACATTACGGGATGGTCGTGGGATCGAATGAACGGCAAAATTCGTTTTTGGAGACACTCTTTTTGGTATAGTGCCGACGTCATTGTCTTATTTGTAACGAAAACTTTCGTTTTTTGCCACAGCTGCAAATGCCCTGCCAAATCATAAATTTTCGTGCAAATTTGTCGGCAAAAACAAATTAAAATTTGGCTGGAACATCCCCCGAGTCGTTGCCAAGTAAAATTTTTGACCTGGGATTTGCCCGAAGTCAGCCTTGACATAGGTTTCATCGTCCATCAGAAGACACCCGTCGAACTTGGTCAGCACCTGGTCGTATAGCTTCCGCGCACGGATTTTGGCCACACTATTCTGTTTTATGGTCCGATTTGGCTGTTTGCTAGCTCGATACGACTTGATTCCTTCCCGGAGTCGAGTTCTCCTCACGGTACTATGGGCAGCACCGAAATTTCTGGCCAAATCACGGTCCGACAGATTGGGATTCCTCTTAATCGTCTTCAAAATCTTACCACGCAGTTTCCGGTCGACAGTTCCACTCCGACGATTGGCTTGAGGCTTCCGAATCGTCGTCAATGTTTCCTTATACCGTTTGATAAAGCGCCATACGGTATTTCTGGGAAATTTCAGCTGTTTAGCTAGCCTAGATGCAGACCACAATGGATTTTCCAAATAACTGTGCACAATTTTTTCCCTTCTTTCGGCTTCCATGTTGATTGTTTACAAAGTACAGTCGATTTGCGGAATGTCAAAAATACCTACGTGAAGCTGACAAAATTCCCGACACGTGGGCGCCAAGAACTTCCAAATCCGTCCACGCTCACACGTCAATACCTCTCACGGGTTTCTATGTTCCGTTTTGCTTCGTATTTTCCACTACATGAATTCTCTGTTGCATCGCATGCTCCCGTTTTTACTTAATAGAGCTGTGCGATCATCGATAGAAATTCAACATGTACTGAACAACATTGTAACTTTATTTTCCCTTCATTAACTGTGTGATCGAACACTCAGCGGCTCGATATGTTCATTAATATTCTGGATTGTGAACACCAATAAAACAAGCATTTTTTTTAACGAGTTCATCCCATCTACTACAGAACTGTCACAGCCAGAGTCAATCCAGCAGCGCCTATCTTGATTGCATTGGCAGTGTTGCTAGAGATTTCCTAGGCATTCCTCTACTGTTACTCAATTCCATAAGCTGCATTTAAAACATTAGAAGTTCAGATCGTTTTTGTAATGAAAATTGCAAAACTTGCGAGCTTATAACCTAACCCTTCACAACTTTACATCCCAGTTTGCTACCTTTTTCCCTATACGTAATAAAACTAGTATTATATGGGGAGTAGGCTGTACGTGTGTTCGAACCAGACGTTTGATTTTTCCGCGGAGTTTTTTTTTTTAAATCTATAGTTGGTTGCTGATCTGGCCATAACCAGGCCTAGGAGACAATTTCTAGTTCCTCATTCTAGGCAAGGTTGCAAATACTCATTTCAGCTAAAACATTTTTTTTTTAAATTATGAAATAATTAGATGCTATGATCATATTTTAAATAGGTAAGATACAAGAAGAGGTTTTCAAAGAATGTGTTTGTCATATTAAACCTGTTTATTTCACTTCATGAGAGTCACAATCAGCGATTTTTCACACACTCACTCACTCACTCACTCACTCAGCGATCAGCAAATCGCTGATTGTGACTCATAGAAAGCAAAATTTACAGATTTTATGTTTCAAACGCATACTGTGTAACCTCTTCTTGTAAGTTACAAATAAAACATGTCATCATACCATTTTTTGATTTTATTATTCCGAAAAACATTATTTTAGCTGAAATGAGTATTTGCAACCTTGATTCTAGGACCGTATTATTTGCCGCTGAGAAGCTGTTCCAACGCCAAGTAGAACCTCCACGAGGCGTCCCATCATTCGTCCCATCATTAGTTCCATCATTTGTTGAGTCGCAGTGTTCAACATGACTATTGGTCATGAAAAGGCTTGACAATGCACATCATACAATCGACTACATACATCCGAACATTTGTTTATCTCAAATCGAAGGAAAACATTCCACGCAATTACCATGAAGTTCATGTTGATCTTCGTCAAGCTTCGTCTAAAATTTGATCTTCTACATCAACACATGTCAGGCAGCCTTCAGGATCAATTGACTAAACTTAGTGAGTTCGTTCCATTTTGTAAATTTTTATCTTTTAAAACCAGCAACGTTGGTAGATCACGTTTTTGTGGTGCGTTACTGGTATAAGATCTACCACCGAACCCTAGTCGTGACAACTTCAAACTAAGGAATCAGGATTTTCCAGTAATCAAAGGATCACATTTTAGTCCTTGTTACTTTTTAGGACTTGATAATAATGACAAGACTCGGGTAGTGACCACCGCGCCGTAATGCATTTCTATATTGTATATTTAAAAGCAAAAATATTTTTTATGTTCATAGATTACACATAATCCTTTTCCCTTTGTCCTTCTCCTTTTCCTTTCCCTTTTCTCTTTTCAGAAAGCGAGTAATGATGTCCACAAGATGTCCACGTTTCATCCAGTTATTGGATTCTGAAGTTTGTTTTCTGATGTTTTCTGAATCATCTTGCCCCTTAAATGCTGCACAATAGGCCTGGCCGTTTTGTTATAAGTGACGCATCTTCGATGTGAAACATATATCAAATAGACAAGAAAAATAATGTAGGTATATATTTCATTTTCCAGAATGCTTTCAAGAACTGTTGGTGTTAGATTAGATAAGATTAGATACGTAGTAAAGCTAGGATTATATAAAGTTAAAAAGTATTATAACATTACAAGAAACGGATACTGCATTCAGCAAAAACATGTAGTTTTAGGGTTCGGAGGAAACGCTAGACAAATATCAACACGAAGCGTGATTGATGAAACTATCTATGTTTCATAGATAAGGGGCTGCCCACAGCTCACTTGATCAGCTTTTAGATGTTTTAGATCCCACCCTGCTTCACCCTGCGTTCATACAAAAAGTGAAAAATGTTACGAATGTTTCGTGAGATTTTTAAAAGCAAATTCCAAGCACATTAAAAATAGACTCCCAGTAGAGTACAACTACAACCCTGTTCGTAGCTGTCACATGCTAATACTCTGAGCTCGCCAGGAGAAGTCGTTCCTTGGTTTGTATTTCGTAGGCCTACGGCACAGCATTGGAAGCTTACGAGCAGCATACTTTGTTATTATTAGTCTAGTACCTACCACACTCGCCTCTGCATAGTTCCAGAATACAGGCACACAGTACGAGATGAGAAAGAACCATCATTTCGAACTCTTGCACCTTTCTTCCAGCAGAGGCAAAAGCCACGTACTGAGGTACATCCTCACTGCCTCTCGGCTTCACCGTCGTGGGTTAGAGTTAGTTCATGCTTGCACTTGTACATCGCAGCCCACGCGCGAGGCTCTTGGGTGAAATCGGAACCATATACCATCATCATGGTGGGTTATCACAACGACGACGGTACGGGGGCACACCACCACCTCATTTCGCTCATTTCCGAGGCAGGCGGTTGATTTCGAAGTTATAGTACTTTGGACTATGGTTGGCGGCCAACA